AACATTCTTGATCAATCTGGAAAGACAAAGGGGACAACACATTCAGATGACATGAGGTAGATTTTGAATGCACAGTATTGAACAGTCTGTGAGGGACATGAACTACTTATGTTGCTGTGACTTAAAAACCATTGACTGTGAGAAGATATGGCAGTCAAGCTAGTTGGTACCATCAACACTGTCTCCAGAAGGAGTGTCTGGGGCAGCTCACAAGCATACAGAAGAATAGCAGAATTTTTTTTTTCTATTCATCAGCGACATGCGAGCACCCTTAGTCAACTCATCTCCAAGTACACATGCGCCTAGACTAGCGGATTACCGCTGTCCACTCCTTTTATATGCGGACGACGCGGTAATTCTATCTTATACACGTGTTGGACTAACCAGAGCTCTGAAGATCTTTGCCACGTATTGTCAACTCAACCAATTAACCATCAATCATGCTAAATCTAAGATTCTGATTTTCGCCAGAAGTCGGAGATTATACGAATGGAAGCTTGGTGGAGCAAAAATAGAGCAAGTCCTAAAATTTCAATACCTAGGAGTTATTTTTCAATACAATTTGGGGTGGAAAGCACATATTCAACACCTACTTAATAAGGCCAAAACTCTGATATATGCGCTCCTCCGATTTTTCTTTTCGGATGGAGCTTTGCATGTTCCTCGGCCCTAAAGGTGTTCAAGGCAAAAGTGGTTCCCGTGCTTGCTTATGCTGCCCCGCTCTGGGCCGTGATGACAGACCTTGCTCCTCTTGAGACTCTGCAAAACCAATTCCTACGTCGGCTCCTAATGCTCCCCCTGTGCGTAAGCTAACGCAGCCATGCGACTAGAATTGAAGATCGCATCTTTAGAAACTTGCCTGTGGAAGCAAGTCTTCAATTATTGGTTATCATTGTGGCATAGATTACCAGACCATTACCTTGCCCAATGCTTATGGCGAGATGAATTCTCCAGCCTTTGGACCAGTAGAATTCATGCCAAACTCCTGAGCTATGGAATCTCTCCCTTGGATTCCCTAAAACTAGATCAAACCACTGCTCAAAGACTGATCCGCCAAAGACTGGATGACATCGATTTACAGCGAAATTATATGCTGGGGGGAGGTGTTTGTTCGCCCCAGAACATTGGTATCACTTTAACTTACTGCGTTCCATCATACCTCTCCTCCCTTTCGACTGTTGCCCATAGGCTGGCCTTCACCAAAGCGAGGTTTAATGTTTTTCCCTCCAATGCCCTGAGACATAGATTCTCAAAGGGCCAAACCTCCGCCATGTGCGAATGTGATAAGGAGATGCCGGAGTCGCTTCAGCACATTATGTTCACTTGCCCCTTATTCAAGGTGCCACGGGCAAATTTGTTGGGATCAATCATACAGAAATTAGAGGGTACTCCACCAAAATTCCACCTTGCCCAAATCTTGCAGGATAAGGATACCCATACGACCCTGAAAGTGGCTAGGTTCCTGGTCGCTGTCCTTACTCAAAAGCGTTGCCAAGGAGCACCACAAGCTAATTAAGGCGTAGTATGCCATTCCATCTTATAGTAGTTTATTGTTATAGTAGTGTTTTAGTGGCTTAAATGATATTTATTAAGAATTTTAGAATTACAGGAAAAAAAACAAAGAAAAAGAAAAACAAAAAGAAAAAAACAAAAACAAACAAACCACAATCCAACAATACAAATTGATAAAAATCAAAATCAAAAAAATAACACAACACAATCAAAAGACAAAAATAAGCCACAAACATTTTAAAAACAAATCCGATATTCTCAAATCCTTAACTATCATTACCTTCTTTCTTTGACCTCCTCACTCCTCCCTTTTTTTGTATCTTAGTTGTTAATTGTCACAGCAAATCCTTTCCGTTTTTCATAATATTCTGTCATTACATTACCTTAATCTATTTTAATCTTATCTTACTATAAAAGACCTTAAAACTTGAAACTTAGATCTTATTTATACCAATTTCTCATAACCATAATATTCTTACATAATTCTTTAAACATTTTTACTAAAGCCAAATAATTTCGTTCCAACATTTTTCTAGCATTCATCAATTTTATAAAACAATCCTAATAAAAAAAAAATTTCCCCTTCCAATCTTCATCCAGCGTCTCTTCCTCCTGGTCCCGGGTTTTGTCAGTCCTTTCTATCACATCAATCTAGCGCATTAACCTGGTAATCTTATATCCGAGGCCCTTAAGTCTCTTCCATGTCCCTTCCGCGGCTCTTCTTCATATTTATACCTGTACTTTACTTTGTCTCCTGCTCCTTTCACTCGTGGGAACTCCAACTTAACAGTGTTTTTGACCCTTCTCGACAAATCAGCCCCTTTTCCATAGTCCACATTGAACTCCATTTGGTATTTAAAAACATGTTTCAAAGTCCCTCCAGAATTAAGAGCCCCCACAACCCCAAACATCTCACGGCCCATTGCCAGACTTGAAAAGTCCAAACATCCCTGCATAGGGGGGTCTATCCAACCCCCCATTTCCAAACCAAACCAAACTTTATCTTTCCAAATCTGGCTTTTTCCAAGTTCATTTGTCAGATCCAAGAACTCATGTTCCTGCTGGGCCACAGCTCCCTCCATCTCTGGCGCCCGAGGTTCAGCAACATCCTCTTCCCTCATCTGTTCTGTCAGAGCAAACTCCTGATTTGATTCCTTGGTGGGCTCTATATAGTTTCCCACTACCTGTCCAAAATTTCTGATCACAGCAGTCATCACGTCCGTCTTCTCATATAGCTGTTCCAGTAGGGCACTTGTTTTGCAGAAAGCATGCACCAGAGCTTCTGAATACATTGTTCTGCAAGGTCAGAAGTCTATTCCCACGATCGTAATCTGTTGTAGCTGCAAGCTCCCCGATTCAAAATTGGTAACAGTTTCACAGGCTCCCTCTAGGGGAAGAACTTCTATTTGTTCTTTTCTTTTAAAAGCAGATCTAACAACAAAGTTTCCTTTTTTCAGATATTTTGTCAATATTTGTTCCTTTAAAATGTGAAGGGGAACAATGGAATCACTATGTTTCTCTTCTTTTAACTATATGTAAAAAACATTTGTCTCTGGTCAATGATCTTCAAAGAATGTCAGTCCTGGCACCCCGCTCCCAGGATCAAGACGGTGGAAAATTACTTTGCTTTACACTCTCTTCTGCAGGTTTAAACAGTCCGAAAAAAATTCCCCTTCTTCTCCTGCTTCCGAAGGGGGTTCAACAATTTTAAATGATGAAAGTTAATCCTTTACAAGCGATTTTCTGAACTCCAGTTTGCCATGTCTTTGCTTTAATCTATCTACAAGAAACGGAAGGCTGACTTCCTGTTTAGACCTTCCCGTTTCAGTGCCAAATTGAGATAAATTTCTTAGTCCAATTTTCCTTTCTACTCGCTGGTCATTATTTAAAGTCCAATTGTCCGAAATTTAAGTACTCACGGGTAATTGTTTTAAAAGCCAAATTGTCCCAGGAAAAAGGCAGTGCTCTCCGGCAACGGCTGTGCGGCTTCGCTCCATGGAAGAAGCAGTTGACTCTCAGCACCGCGCCACTTCCCCCTCTTCGCTCCGGAGCCCGTAAGTGGGTTCCTTTACGGGTTGGGGGGGCGCTAAAAGTGCCCGCCGAGTCCCATGGTCACAGGCTTCATCCGCCTGTGATTTTTGAAAGGGTCCCCGCTTCGCCGTAGCGGGAAAGACCCGTTTTCCGTGGAGCTGGTCCCTCCGGATCAGAGGGAATCCACCATTACCGATGGCGCCACCCCGGAAGTCCAGAATAGCAGAATTTTAAGACATAATCACACAAATTTGACTACACAACTCCTACTCATTTAAGCAGGCCATAAGAAAATATAACTGCGTTCAGGATTGCAGCTTTAGTCATTTTGAGACTGGAAAGGGGGACAAAAATGTTTTTCAAATTCTGCACTTTGGTTGGAATGGGACAAAGTGTTACCTGCTCAAAGGTGAAGGAGAAATAGAAGAGGTTGTGACCAAAAAGAAGGTGTCTTATTATGGTTTGAGCAGTTTAAGTATGGAAACTGAGAGCATTCTACATTTCTAAAATTTGTGAACATGCTGAACATTCCCTGTTATTTAAGTGCTAAGTGTCTATATATATCTAATGTATCTGGTCCCCCCTCCAATTTGCCAACTGCAATTATCAGCTTTTGTATTCAGATGTGCACTAAAAGAAAAACCCTTTATAACATAAGGATTACAGTCCTTTTGTTATATCATGAGGGTAGTTATTATATCCAATCATCTAATGCTGAAGGCTGTAACTGGCATTGGAAGGGTGGGCCTAGAAAGAACAAATAAATAAAGAAATAAAAGAAATAATGCCAACACTAATAAAACCATCTAAGTTAGCTGGCCGGAATTTTAAATCACCCAAAGAATATAACTCGAGAGAACTTATGAAATAAAAATTAATGTTTGGAACAAGGTTACTTCATCACACTTGTATTTGAAATTGGATTCCGTGTGGGTGGTGAGCCAAAGGCCTGATTGAATATAACCATGGCAGAGACAGAAGGGAGGTGAGGAGGAGCCATATGTGCATGAAGTGAAGGGTGTCTGAAAGGATAGGAGCTGTGATTTGACTGCCAGGGCCAGTTTTCTGAGGGCAACATTTGGAAGGATTCTGATAAAACTGCTGGAATTAATGGACAGAAGCCCTTTGGTGGAAAGGTTTCAAGAGGACAAGCCAAATTAAAGAAAACATACTCTCATCTCTTTATTCTGTGACGATGGTGTGTGAGAAACCCTTAAAACAATTATTAAGCAGGATATTCAGAACTCAGATGTTTTGTTACAAATATTCTCCCTCATCCTTATACATATTCTCTAATATAGACAGTAAACCTACAGGCAGGAGTTGTTTGCTGCAGCACCAAGCACATTTTCAGCACTATACATAAATATTAATAGAAATAGTGGCACTTGTGGCAGTAGCAATTAATACTTGAGTCACTTTCCTGTAAGATGTGTGTGTAAATGCGCGTATCCAAATGGTGAGTAGTTCTCATATGTCATGGCAGGCATTTCAAGTGGTTTCCACCTGGCATAACAGCATTCATCTCTCCTCCTCCCCTCATGGCTCATGACTTTGTCACATTGCCTGGTCAATGGGAGGTGTACACTGGCAGAGTACTGGCAGAGACCATATTGCTGTGAGTCTTGGAGGACCTGCTCTCTGCCTTTTCTGCCTGGCCTGGGAGGCTGGGACCCTGGCTGACTCTGGCTACATAAAACTGAGGTGTTTTGGGGGTTGGGTTATTGGTGGTATGAGGTTGCTCAAATGCTTGCATGAGACACAGCAGCAGTGGTGGCCTTCCAGATTACTTCCACGCTTGTGGCACAGTATAAGTGGGAACATTTTGTGAGGAACAATTGGGAAAGGATAGATTTGTGTTTCTGACTCCCTGTTGTTTTGTAGGGTAAGTATTATGGGCTGCTGCCATATCTGTTTCCTCTTCCTGCCTTGGGGTTTTTACCCCCTTTTTCATTTCTGTAAGCCCAGGTACATTAGTGCTTCAGCAATTTTATAGTATTGTGGACTTCCCAGGAAAAAAAGGCCAAAAGCCACTGCATTTTTTCTTAATGGCATCTTAAAATGTTACACAGAAGAAAGCTGGATTAGGAAAACACCTTCACCCTAAGCAATCGTTGTCTAATCTGCTTCACCATACATGTTGCATCTCGAGTCTTCTTTATGGTTGTGATGGCAACTAAGCTTTCCCAGCTCCTATACCTGTGGATGAAGCTTCAACATTGGGGGTAGACCCAGCAGTGTGGCTCTGCTGTCTGTCACAATGTGGTTCCCTCAAGTAACAAATGAAGGGGCCTCTAATTAAAATATGATGCTACCTTATATGGCAGATCATAGGATCTAAGCTCTTCATGGGCTCTGACAAAGGACCTTTCAGACTCTAATACCTGAGATTCATTGAAGTGGAGGTGCTAAGGACTTAACCTGGGCTTTCTGTATTCAAAGCATGTGCTCTGTGCCCTCCTGGATCAAATTTGCAATCTGATTTGCTGTGAACTTGCATACTGATGAGTTTCACACATTTAAAGCTAATGCAAGTTACAATAACAATGTATGAAATATTGGCCTTTGAAATAATTCACGGGGAAATTTCCGTTAGCAAAAATTCAGCCACGGCTCTTCTGCCAGTTTAATTATTTGAGACCCCTTTAAAGCAAAACTTGCATATACTGTATTTGAAAAGTTTAACTTTTTCTTAGGAAATCATCCTAGTGAAAGTATGTTGTGTGTAACAAACAAGATGTCTTAAGTCCATTTATGAGCAAAGAACGGAGACTAGCTGTCAAGATGTCCCCCCCTCCTTTTTTGTATGTGTGCTATAACTGCTACTTTGACAGCTCTGTGGAGGTGTAAAGGATTGAAAAATGTAAAGGATAATAAGGCACATTTGCTGTGGAACTGTTCAAATAATCATATCTAGGAGAGGCAGGGTAAGTAGAATCTTGGTGGGAAAAATAATATGTTTTTATAAATGTGATCTTACCCATTATTTCTGTTATCTCAGAGGAAAAGCAAAGTGCAATGAAATAATGGCAACTTTTGGAAGTATATATGCTACTTTGTGTGCACCTCTCTTAAATGATTGTGACCCAAATGTGAAAAGGAGTGTTGTGTACACAGTTTCTTGGGCTGGAGATCTGCTTCTAGCATTCGGGGTTCCATGCTCAGTAATCTGAATATTATGTGCGCAACACTGACCAAATAACCAGAACGGTCACCTCTTTGGAATCAGCACTGTTTAACTGGACAGTATCAGCAAGTGTCCATTATGACTATGACAGCTGTTATCATATAGATATATTTTCTGTGTGAAATCCACTGCTAGCTACTGTCAAGCACATAGACTAGAATCTCTCTTGACACATCATAGTAGGCTGATAACCCATAACAATGGCGCTGGGCTTCACAAGTAGCAGAACTAGGTGAGAATGGGGTGGTAGAATGGGCTATATCACAACAGTGCAGGTAGAGGATCCTACTTGGGATGCTTTGCTACATTTTTTTTTAACTTACCAATAATTGAAAGCTGAACATAGCTGATCTAGAATCATTGTGCCTGTCAATTTGTGTGTGTTGATACTTTTTAAGCTATTGCTGTTGCTAAGTTGCAAGGTTATGCTTTCAAGTATGGTTGAGCACCAAAAATGGCACCCCCATTTGCAGTCTAAAATGGTATAGTCTGCTCAACTACCTCAGAATTCCATTTCCACATTCTTCTGTTGCATCTGTAGCCATGGAAGCTGTTTGCAGAAGACTCCATAGTTGAGTGTAACATGAAGTGCAGCCATACATCAGGCTAAACCAAAGCTTTAATAGGTGGTGGGGATGGCTGAAGAGAGAATGCCCTCAATTACCTACCTACCTGCCTGCCTGCATGCCTACCTGCCTGCCTGCCAGAAGAAGAAGAATGTATGCTCAGTCACATCACAGCATATAAACCAACAAGTGGACCTCTCTCAAAAGTGAAAAAATGTCCTTAAGACAAAGCTGAGAGGGGATATTTCAGGGCCTGTAGACACTGTTTTCTCAATGATGGTTTCATTGTTTATGAGTCAAATACTGCAAAGCCATAACTCCAAGACAAATGATACTATTATAGTTATGCGTCATGCTGTGAACAGTGTGGTGGATATTTCTACACAATTCATTTCAGGAAAATGAATCAGAACAGCTAGACTAAATATGTTTTTCTTTCCTTGTTATAATAATGAGTTCTTATTACGGTAGAAACCTTCATTTATCAATGCAGAAAGAAAAGAATTCATGAAGGAGAATTTCATAATTATTATTATTTGTCTTTCATAAATAATAATGAGCTTATCTTTGCAGCCATGATAGTTCAAACTTATCTTTTCCCATAAATCCTGCTCCGGGTAACCAAATTTTTAGAGAACTTTCCATTTTATTCATCACCCCAGTATTATTGTTTGAATAAATGTCAGTATGTGATTTGAAATACAATTATGCTATATCCATGCTAAACAGTGGCATTAATGAAATTGCTCTAGCACATATTTAAATTGCAGTGGTGTCTTTAAAAAAACCCCGTACCTGGCAGACCCTTTATACACAGAAATTGATTTTCAAATCAGATGCATTATAGTTTTTTTCTGGAAAAGATGTTGCCTGGTTCACGACGGATCAACGACCCTTTTCATGTAAATTCTGTTAAAATTTTGTTTCTATTCTCCCTATATTTTCATTTACTGAACCTGAACAATTATATCATGACATGTTAACCCAACATATAAACTCACCTACTACCTGTGTGTGCAGCATCCTCCGTCCTCCCTTCACTTGAGCTAGCAAATAAACCAGGAAGTCTTCAATTAATTAAGGTTTCCCATTTCATCCAAACCACCTATTTTTTTTTAAAGAACCCAGATATTAAAACAACTTTGAACTCTAGTTTAAGACTCTGGCTTGCTTTAAAGTTCTGCTAATTGTAGTTTCTCATTTGGATGAAACAGGAATCTTTAACTGATTGAATACTTGCTGGCTTATATGAACAGAAGTGCAAAAGGGATGCCTACATATTAAGCCATGATACGATTCCAAACTGTCCTACTGTCAGCTAACTCCCATATTTTCTTGTCTCAGAGGTCCTTTATTGGATTTCCCCCTCATTTAATTATTTAGTATATAAACACACATAAAAATCCAATTTGTTAAGGTTTCAGTTATCTCATGTAAATGCTTTACATTCACTGGACTGCTAATTGATTTGTGGATTTACATCTGTGAAGTCTACTGATTTCATTAGGGATGGGGATTGATCGTTATATTGCATGAAAAAAGTATACTGCCTTACATCCCTTGGGTTCTTATAGAGCTGAAAGTAAATTTAGTATTCAGATGAAAAGTCTCAAATTTGAACTTGCACTTTAATGTGGACATGTTATCCCAACATTTGAAATTCACAAAGTTTAGATGGTGGTTTTCTTGATTTTCTCAGGCTTTAAATATAAGGTCTCATATTTACTGCCAAAAAGGATACAACCATTCACATGCAACTAAGATAATTACATGTCAGCAACCACATATTAAATAGTATTTTGATGCTAACCATCAAATACTGTCAAAATCCATACACTAGTGATTTTCAAATTAACTTCTGGTGAGCCCTAGGTTCTGTGGAATATTGCCAGAGATTTGGTAAACCAGAAGATCAGTAATGGTGGAGAAACTTCCCTAAAAGACCACAACTCATCTGCAATGTGTAGCCATAGGGGCACATTTGCAGTACAAATTGGAGATCGGAAGGCTTAACAGTATCCCATGTGAACAGAGTGTACATCCAAGATAATCTCTCAGAATCCTCTACAACATGCAAGGGTTCTGTGGCAGACATACTTTCATTGGCAATCCAGTCAGTGCAGCAATGTTCTCTGAAGAGAAAAACTCTGAATACCTCTAAGATCTGTTGATGTGTATCAGCTATTGGTACTGGTAAACACCATCACTTATCAAGTATTATATGCTGCTAGATATCAACTGTCAGATATCAAGAACTGAAACCAAATTTCATTGGTTGTTAAATACGGATGCAAAATACCTTATTCAAAGATTCAGAGAATATCTTGCAAATGTCTGGCATAAAAATCCTCTCAGGACAATTTAAAGGAGAATTCTAGAGCAAATTAATTCCATCTCCCATTTCTTTGTGCACCAACCCACATATCAGGGGAAGCTGCAGAAGCAGCTCAGATGCCGGGGAGATAGTTAACAGCCCTGTATCCTCCCACTTGTGTGTCATTTAAGAAATAGGCCTCATAAAATTAAAGATACAGTGGAAGCAGAGGTGGCAATGCAGGGCAATTCTCAATAATTAGGAATGAAGCAAGAAGTGGAATTGATATTCCACTTAATAAGGACAAATCCTGTTGCACAAGCAGCCTTCCTTTCACATATGGTTTGGATACAAACCTTTATGTTTACTGTACATGAGGACAGGACCCCTCCTCTTCTTTCCTTTTTTTAAAAAAATTTAAAAATGGTGTTATCCAACTAGACTGGGTGGGATAGGACAAGTTGGCCATATGCTTTGCATGCAAGTTTTTAGGCTCAATCCCTGGCTGCTTTTATCTGAGACTCTGACGAGCTACTGCTAGTGTCAGTGCATATACTGAGCTAGATGGACCAAGAGCCTGATTCAATAGAAGGTAGCTCACCACGTTCCTCTCTGTGATCCATCTACTGTGGGGGCAAGCACAACTGAAGACATTAGGACTTCTTCTTCTTTTTTAAAAAATGATATTTATTACTTTTTCAAAATTTCCAACACAGCACTACAAACACAGAGAAAAAGAAAAAAAAAAGAAAAAAGAAAAAACAATACGAATAACAAATCAAGCAAAAACAAACAAAAACAATTTAAAAACACCTCAAACATTTTCAATATCTTATATTTCATTCACTTATTTCCAGCGACTTCCTCACACCTCCCTTTTTGTATTCCACTTCTATTATTTGTTTCAGCAATTCCTTTCCATCTTACTCTGTTTTCTGTTCTATAATTATCTTAACACATTCTTGCCATACTTTTCCTTTAATTTTCTATTAATCTATTTATACTTAATTCCTTATGACATTTCTACTAGAGCCATGTAATTTCATTCCAACAGTTTCCTAACTTTCCTTAATTTTACAATATTTCTATAAATAGTCTTTAAACTTTTTCCAATCTTCTTCCACCGACTCTTCACCCTGGTCTCGGATCTTGCCAGTCATTTCCGCTAATTCCCTATAGTCCATCAACTTCGTCTGCCATTGTCCAACACTTCAGTGTTTTCAAGAAGCAACCATTCTCTCAACCAGCAAAAGGCAGATGGTTCACAACGAAGTTTAAAGGTCTGGCAGGGCAGGTCCACCTCCTTCTTTAGCATCCATCAATATCTTAAGCTTAACTCGAGGCTTCCTGCCCTGCCAAACAACTCTAGGAGCATCCCTCTGCCACCTCCTGAGACCCTCCATCCCATCTAGAGCTTGCAATGTTTGAAACAACAGCAACATCCCCAGCAACACAGCAGCCCCCATCCCCACCACAACGACTCGACCCAACAGTAACAACTTCTGATTTGTCCATATTTCCAAATTCCCCTTCTCTTCAATCCAACATCCTTCACAGTTGTCCTTAAGCAGATTCACATTTTTGGCGGTCATACTAACCCCCAAATACCTCTCTTTCTCAACCAGTGTTAGTCCTGTCGCCTCCTGAAGCTCTGTCAGGCTTTCCTTCTCCAACTCAGACAGGGCTCTGGTCCCCAAATTCATCTGCTCTTCTTTAAGTTCAATCATAATGAATGTCAGCTTATGTTCATCAAGTTGTCTTTGTATGGATGGGACTCTCCTCTCCAGTTGTACCACCTTAAGTTCAGCAGCAAGAGTTTTTCCCCTGACTTCATCTGCAGTTTGCCGTATCAGAGTAGATTCCTGTATCAGTTTCTGGGTGGTTTCTGAATTGGTATTCACCTTTTGTCCCAACTTATTTAAACTTTCTACAATTAAATCAGTCTCAATATTTGCAACATCCAATTTCACATTCCTCACATCTGTTTTCTTATGGAGTTGTTCCAGCGAATCGTTTATTTTCAATAATGCAGCCACTAAGGCCTCCTCTGTCAACATCCCATCTGTTTTTTCCCTTCCGTTTGCCATAACACTTTAGAGATTCAAGGTCAATTCCAAAGTCTCACACTTTTCTTATCTTGCAGCTGGAAATTCCCTAGCCCAGCTCCTATAAAGTAACCAATTTCAAAAGCTTCCACTAGGGGAAAACAGGTTGTATTTGTATCGGTCAATATGTCCTCTTTTAAACACAGTTTCAATAATCCGAAGTTAGTTTCAATTTTCAGTTACTTTCCTCCTTTTTTAAAAACAGCCGGAAACAGTAGAAACAATGTATTTCTCTTATTTAGCTAGCTGTCAATGAACGTTCTAAGCGCTGTCAATGAACATTCAAAAAAACAAACAAAAAAAAAACCCATCAGTCTTACTAGCAGCCCGTTTCCAGGGTCAGAGCGGCGGTGTTTTAAGCCTCTTCACTCTCTCCCGCAGGCATACTCACTCCTACAACTTCCCCCTCTCTTCTCCTGCCTCCAAGAGGGGGTTTAATGTTCTTTACCGTTGGAAATTTGATCTTTTACAAAAGACCTTCCAGGACTCCAGCTTGCAACTTCGTTGCCTCAGTCTATTTACAAAAAGGGAAGGTGGACTTCCTGTTTTGAACCTCCCCGTTACGATACCAAATTAAACTGTTAGAGATCCAATTCTTCCGTTTCAGCTCTACTCACGGGTAATTACTTTAAAGTCAAATTGTCCACAGGAAAAGGTCAGCGCTCTCCGGCAATAGCTATGCGGCTTTGCTCCGCGGAAGAAGCAGATGATTTGATGCACCGCGCCGCTCACCCCACGTCGCTCCGGAGCCCCAAAAACCGGGGTTCCCCGTGAGTGGGGGAGGCGCAAAAGGTGCCCGCCGAATTCCACGTTCACAGGCTTCTCCCGCCTGTGATTTTAACGGGTCTCCGCCTTCGCTGTGGCGGCCAGACCCAGATTTCCACGGAGCAGATTCCTCCCAGTCAGAGGAATTCTGCCATTGCTGGACGCGCCTCCCCCGGAAGTCCCCTGAAGACATTAGGACTTCTTTCCAAGCAAACGTGCCTGTGGTTGTGCAGGTTGCATATATGTGTAAATAAAACCATATATCTTAAAGACACCACAGTCTCTGCAGTGCCTTATTCCCAAAAGGAAAAACAAGCCCTGGGTATCCCTGGAGTCTTGCACAGCTGTGGCAATTGGGGTGCCATGTCAACAGTATTTTACTTCTTCTACCACTGCATCACATACATTATTTCCAAGCACTTCTAGAGCATGATGGTTTAATTATATCAGTAGTGGACCTTGGTAATTTTGTGCCCTGTGCGAGACCAAAATTTGAGCAGGACCCCAGCCCTCGTGCTGCCTTCCCAAAAGCAAGTAAGGGAGGAACAAGGCTTCCTCCTTCCCAAAGCTGTGAAAGCACCAACTAGGCTTTGGGAAGAAGGAGGGAAGACTGTAAGACTCTGGCTTACTGGGCTATGAGAAGGCTCCCCCTTTGACTCAGTGACCAGTACTTGTGTACCGCTTGCATACCACTAAAGCCACCCATACAGTGGTACCTCGGGTTAAATACGCCTCAGGTTACATACACTTCAGGTTACAGACTCCACTAACCCAAAAATAGTGCTTCAGGTTAAGAACTTTGCTTCAGGATGAGAACAGAAATCGTGCTCCGGCGGCGCGGCAGCAGCAGGAGGCCCCATTAGCTAAAGTGGTGCTTCAGGTTAAGAACAGTTTCAGGTTAAGTATGGACCTCCGGAATGAATTAAGTACTTAACCTGAGGTACCACTGTAGATACTTATAGCTCTGTAGGTGCAATGGGATCAAAGCATCTACACCTATACAAAGGATTGCATCTGCTTCCTGTTAGAGATGAGCATAGTAATTCAAATATGGGTTTGCTTGTTTGTTTTCTTTCTTGAAAAGAAACAGATTGGATGGTTGGGGAAGTTGCAGTTGCCAAGCAAACATGGCCATGCCCTTCTCCTGCTGTCTTGAATTAGGATTTAAACCTTCAAGCCTGATCCGAAGCATTTTTCATTGATTTAACTTAGTCAAGTTGCCCGGCATCTACAAACAGTGAACCAATTAAGAGGACCTTACTGAGCAGAGCAGAACAGAACAGAACAGAAGGAAGCATACAAGATGGATGGAAACTGCACCCAAATCCTAGCACTCCAAGACGACAACAAGTAAAGGGCAAAAAGGTCATTGAACAAATATTTTAATAATGCTTTATTTGAAATTCCATCAGTTACACATTATTAGCTCTGCTGTGCTGCAGAAACACAGGAGGGATAATGTGAAGTGCCTTATTTATAATACAACAAACCGCAGCCCCTCCGGGGCATACATCGCCCAAACAATTGTATTTTGCAATTCATTGCTACATTTTCTGAAAGTCAGCACCTCCCCATCTTGCTTTATGTGTGGTCTAGCAAAGATGATAGAAAATATGGATCCATCTGAAATCTATGGAAGCACTGCAATTTATGTACCTGGGAGCTGCAGCTTTTTATTATGCAGATCTCACGAATAGTTATTGGCCAGGGACTTGGCTCACTTACAATTAACATTCCTGATGACATAATAAGAATGCATAATAATAATCATTGATGTGACTCTATGGCACCATTCCAACAGTGTTGGAGAAAGCATCTGACAGGAGCAAAGAGTACTGGTATACGAGGTCCCCTCTACACCCACACCCCAAACCACTTGAACATTTTCAGTATTTCTGTCCTCCCCCCGCCGCACCTTCCCCATGCAAAAAGGCTGAACCTAAAGCAGAGGGAGAGGGTAAGAGGAGATGGCAAGGGCTAACTACAACATGGAAAGGGACCACAAGACCTCGCCTTAGTTGGATTTTCAGACTACAAGCCCCAGGATCAGCAACATGTGTTATTTCAAGCAAAGGGGAGTCCTATCCTGTACTCAGCTCTCCCCACCACCTGTTATGCTCTCTCTCTTGCCCCCACCTAGAAAGGAAGATTGAACAATTGCTCTATTGGGAAAGCCAGAGACAATCATTCTGAATTGACATAATCTCTCTGATAGGAATGAGCTGTGAGTTAGTTCTGCGGCATTGTAAACTGAAGTGCACAGTTTCTATTGGCACACTCACTGCGTAAGCAGATTGAACTGTAAAAGCATATGGGCAGAAAAGTTTGAACATGAAATATTTGGCTAAGTAGAGGGAAGGAGGGAAGGAACAAGAATCCTAGGGAGATCCTTATTACCCATGATGACTGAAATAAAATGTAAAATTAGTTTCTCCTCCTTTTTCTTCACCTATGGGCTCATTGAGGCAGTGGTAACCAGCATACAAATGGCTGGTGACAATCACATAGGGGCACCATTTGAGACAACTGCCATGGCACATCCATGTGGCCATGAATTCTCTGCTGTGATGGTTGATATGATTTATACAATGATTGGCAGCCTGTGTGTGTGTTTAGCCTCATCAACCAGGCAAACTGCAGAGGCTGCATGTAGCGTCTCTGAGTGGACAATGTGCCAGTTACATTATCTGTAAGTTGTAATGTATAAATTAAAATATTTTTCAGTTCACAAGTCATGAAAAAATGGTGTACATGCATGAGTGGTCCTAAATATTCTTTCAGGAGACTTCAAATGGGCCACATTTGTTCCAAAGCTCACAGTTTCTTCCTCCGCTCTTAGCAACAAACATTGCATTATTTCTC